AGGGAACGATATCGCTAGAGCTTTTGGAGCAGATTCCGGAAATCGACACGATCATAGTTCCGATAAGCGGTGAGCTCTCGATATTATGAAATTGCAATTAAATAGTTACCTTCATCTCAACATTTGTATAAATTAAAAAAAAAAAAAAGCAAATGCTTACACATTGTAGCAATAAAAAAATTGTAGGTGGTGGTTTAATCTCGGGGATAGCTTTAGCTGCCAAGTCTTTAAATCCCGCGATTCGAATATTTGCTGCCGAACCAAAGGGAGCGGATGATGCTGCTCGATCCAAAGAAGAGGGCGCTATCGTAATTTTACCAGAGACAAATACCATAGCCGATGGTCTTCGAGCTTCTCTTGGAACACTCACATGGTAAAAAATAAATAAAAATAAAATAATGATAATAGTAAGTCAACTGTATTTTTCATGACATAATTTCGTATCTTTTTTCGTCTTGTTCAATATAGGCTGATTAAATAATTGGATTTTATTTGATGTTTGGTCAATCTGCTAACTTTCAATTTTTTTGGAAAGAGCAGGCATGATTAATTAATTAAAATAATTAAATTTTATTTTTATTTTTTCGGCCCGGCCCATAATTATTGAAAAATGAACTATTAGTATTCGATTGTCCGATTGGAGCCCCTATGCATTTTCGGGAGTTGAAATTACTTTTTTACCCTTGAATATAATTACAACCTACAGGCCTGTTGTTCGGGATTTGGTGGATGGGGTAATTGTTGTGGAGGACAAAGAGATAATCGAAGCAACGAGACTATGTTATGAAACTCTGAAGGTTGCCGTGGAGCCGAGTGGGGCCATCGGCCTTGCGGCTGTTCTTTCCGAAAGCTTCCGGAATAATCCCGTTTGGAAAGACTGCAAAAATGTGGGCATTGTACTTTCAGGAGGGAATCTTGATTTGGATATGCTGTGGGAATCCTTAAAAAGTACAGTATGAAGTGTAAGAACGATTATTGTAAATACCGATAATTCCTTGTCATATTCGAGGGAGTGAATTTAACTCGTATTGTATTCTAGTCTAAATTATTTTGCTGCTGCATACGCTTGTTTTTTTTCAATCCAAACGCAACCTTAATATATTATTTTCGTATCTTGTGAGTGATTTATTTATCTTCGATTAATAGGTTTGATCCAAAAAAATACCACAATTCCGCACATCTTTCAATATTTTTCCGTCAGAAAGTACGCGTATTTCGATTGCATACGGTGTAGCAAAAGTGCGTTAAGATGCATATTGTTATCTATTTTAACTGCTTTTTGGTCGTCGGTCTACCGATAATATTAACCAAATCGCTACCCGAGCACAAGATGCCACCGTCGTCACCGGATAATAACGATGTTGCCCTTGTGGCTCTACTATTCCGCCCAAAAATGTAAGTTTTCCTATCTTATTTCGTAAATTGGAATATTAATAAAAAAGAAGAGAAAAGAATGGACAACGAAAAATAACCTTAGCTTATTTTTGTGCTTCTGGCTAGAAAATGTTTCGGAAGTTTATGTAGATAAATATTCATCGTAATATTAACATCGATTCTAATCACAAATCCCTATCTTTGAACTCCCTCGTATATAAAACATTAATGCCATTGACTCGTGGTTGATGCCCGTCAAGGTGGCTGAGTGGCGGAAAAATATCGGGGTCAAAATTTGATTAAGAGTCAAAATTGGTGCATTGGTGAATTGGTGGTAGAGGTGGTAAACGAGGCGAGCCGAGCCAGTTTTATGTTGTTCGTGAGCTAACGAGCCGGCTCAGAAGCCTTATTTATTATTGTTATTATTATTTTTATATTATTTTTTATTTAAAATTTTTAAGTAATTTTTAATAATAATAAAATACTAATTAAAAAAAATATTTTATAAAAAAAAAAAAGAGAAAAACCACCAAATGAGCTTGTGCTCGAGCTCGAGCTCAAGTTCGAACAAAAAAAGAAGGAACTTGACGAGCTCGAACTTGTTTAATAATTCATTTTAACCATCCCTTTTAACTTTCAACGTTTTAATTTTACAAACATATACACATAGAAAAATCTCATATTTCGTTTGCTCATGGATTTTACACGAGTATCGACGATTGCAAGAACTATAGGTGCTTTTCTACCAATAGCAATAGTGGTTTTAGGGGTACTAATTTATTTTTAAAACAATAATTAAAAATTTGGTTTCGACCTGACCCGGGCCCGGACCCGCTTCATTACGAGTCTGTTTTGGGTCCCCTAAAAGTTGTACCCGGACCCGCCCGATCCATGGCTGTGTCTAGATGTGAGTTTTGCAATGATCTAGTCTACTATTAGTAGGGAAGAGTAAATCAGACCCATCAACCCGTTGAACCCGTCGAACCCGATAAAAACCGCCCCGTTAGAACCGGACGAATCGATACATCTATAGGATTGGGTCCTGAAATGGATAAAATCCGTGGGTTTGGGTTTAAGACGGGTTCAAAAAAAATTAATACCCGGGAAACCCGTCCCGCCCCGCATATACAAAACAACATAGTTTTGTTTATATTATGTAGTATAACAAATTACAATGTATAATACATGAATAAAGTATCTTGTACATGTCAAAACTTATATCTATAACGACTAGGGGTGGAAATCGGACGGATCGGATCGGATTTGGGTGTTTCGGAAAATTTCCGATTTTTTTCGGAACTCCAAAACGACTTCCGATTCCGATTCCGATTTTTTCGGAATTCAAAAAGTGATTCCGATTCCGATTTTTTCGGAATTTTCGGAAAATCGGAATTTTTCGGAAATATTCATTTTCGGAAATTTCGGAAATTTTCGGAAATATTTCGGAAATTTTCGGAAATTTTCGGAAATTTTCGGAATTTTTCGGAAATTTTCAGAATTTTCCCAAAAAAAAAAAAAAAAAAACAAAAACAAAAAAAAAAAAAAAAATGAGCACCGACACAGTAGCAAAACAATTGAATGAAGATTAAATTTGAATCAATTAAATTAGATTTATTCTAAAAATACCCGATCGAGAGAGCGGCTTTGCTGGTGGTCGTCGGAGAGCCGGGAGGCCTGGTTGCGATGGTGGTGGTTGGAGAATCGGGAGGCGCAAGTGGTGGTGGTCGTCGGAGAATTGGGAGGCGCTGCTGGTGGTGGTGGTCGTCGGAAAGCCGAGATTCGCTAGTGGTGGTGGTCGTCGGAGAACCGAGAGGCAGTGGTGGTGGTGGTCGTCGGAGAAGGCGCTGGTGGTGGTGGGGGAGAAAAAACGGTCGGATTGCTGAGAGAGAGAGAGTCGGGAAATTAGGGTTTCGAAGTAATTTTAATAAATGTTAGTTTTTGACTTTTGTATGTTTTAGAAAATTAAAAAATATATATATATATATATATAATAATTGTAAAAAAAATATTAGTAATATACTATTAATTAGTACAGGCGGATAGATATATACATATATTATATATTATATATAGTAATAAATATTAATATTATAATTGAAAAAATCGGAATAAATCGGAAATAATCGGAAATAATCGGAAATAATCGGAATAATTTCGGATCGGAAATCGGAAATTCCGAAATTCTGTAATGTATTTCCGATTCCGATCCGATTTTTTTCGGAATTTTCGGAAATCGGAATTTCGGAATTCGGAATTGAAAAAGTCGTTCCAAAATCGGAATATTTCGGATCGGATTCGGCGGAAATCGGAATTTTCGTTCCAATTTCCACCCCTAATAACGACGATATCGTCTCGTTTTGTCTATGGTTATCTATTTTATTTTAAATCTTGTCTTATAAAGGTTTGAATGTAGTTACCCCTTTTGGATTTATGGTTAAAACGTATAAATCTTGATTTACTCGTGACATTTATCATCCATGTTATTCATATTTATTTCAATTTAAAATTTTACGCTTGGTCATTCATTTTAATTTTCAAATAATTTCGCGTAAAATTTATAAATTATTAAAGAAAATAACTTTTTTAAATTACGACGGGTTTCGACCCGTGAAGGTTGGGTTTTACTTTAAACCTGCAGTAGACAGGTCAATCCTAAACCCGTAAAAAATCCACAAGTTTGGTTCTTAAAATCAAGAACCGTTGGTTAACGGGACAAGGGCGGGTTTTGCTAGAACCTGCGGGTTTACGACCCGCGCACCCCCCTAACTAGTAACTATTAGTGATGAGTTCCTTAATTTGATATTTTTTCCCCTTGATTATGAGAATTAATTATGCATCCATATACATAAAGCTAGTTTCATTTCGAGACATGTATTTTTTTTCAATAAAAAAGAGTCGTATTACGAAAATAAACCTCTGTGTTTGTCTTAATTGCCCTTTAATCTAAAATTAATTAAAAAAACGATTTTTTTTTCTTCATAAAACTGAATTGTCTATTTTGCCCCCCTATTACAAGAAAACAAATAAAGTCAATTAAATCCTTGCACATGCAACAAAATTATTGGATTATTTATACTGTACATGTAATTGTTGTCCTGCAGGTCAATCGTAATCAGCATGAATGGAGGAGTGCGGGAGACTTTGCCCTCTTAATCGGAAATAAAAATTACATTAGAAAGATAATTTAACTAAACATAAATAAATATATCATGGAGTAGTAATTTTATATTTGATGATTTGAATTTGTATATAAACTCGTATACAAACATATCGATGTGTATGAATATAAGTGTATAACGACGATAAATATGCATCTAGTAAATGACTTATGAATCTTTATTACGAGGAAATAGATCCAAATGAAACCTCGACTCTTTTCTAAAAGAAAAACAATTATCGCAAAAATATTCAACGTTTATGTTTCTCCTATATGCTACATTCGGTTGATTTCAACTAGTGAAACTTTATATTGATTCACATGTTATAAGATTTGAACTAATCAAAAAGTTGACTCAACACGCCCTAAACACGATCGAATACGAATTAATCAAATTATATATTATAAACTTGAATTTTTCCTTTTGACCTATCCTTAGAAATATTTATTCATGGAATATTAGACGTGACATAAACATGAATTATAAACTATGATGCTTACATAATCATACGATATCATGATTACGTACAATTTATGCTTCTCACGACCATAAAAAAAATATTTATAAATAAATAAAGGCATGTCTTTGCTTATAAATAGGCAAAACCAAATGCAGATTTGTATACCACAATACAAAATTTGCTTAACTAGTAAATAGAGAGTATAAATTATAATATAATTAATTAAATAGTTATCGCCATGGCCGAAGAGATTAAGCAGCGTTTTTTCAACCACAAGAAAGAAGAAGAAAAAGACGTCAAAGTCGAAGTCGACGTCGATGTCAATGTCGAAGTCGAAGTCGAAGTCGAAGCAGAAGAAGAAGTGCATGATTATGATAAAGAACGAAAGCATCACAAGCATCTACAGCAATTGACCGGCCTAGGCGCCATGGCTGCCGGTGCCTATGCCTTGGTACGTTCATAAATACATTTCTATTACCAAAAAAAAATTATATTATTTTTATTAATCAATAATAAAAAAATAATTATTGATTAAATTAATGATGGAAACCAGCATGAGAAACACAAGGCGAAAAAGGACCCGGAGAATGCACACAAACACAAAGTGAAGGAACATATAGCGGCGGTTGTGGCGGTTGGAGTTGGTGGGATTGCGTTTCACGAGGGTCACGAGAAGAAGGATGCTAAGAAGAAATCTAAAGAATGTACTTCTTAATTAACTACTTTAATTTATCCCTAATTATATTGCGTTTTATATTTTTATTGCATTGCATATGCATCTTGATAAATTGTGTTGTTTCCTTTTTTCATGTCTTATGTTATGTGATTGTAAGGCTAAAGTTGCCTATGTGTTATGTGTGACCTTTAAATAATTATTGAACTGCCTTTATTTTCTAAGTAGTTTTCTACAATTGTTGTTTCTTACTAGATCTCACTAGAATATTGTTGTTATTCCAAAAATCTAGAATAGTAAAGATGGTTGGTCAAATACTTAAACATAAAAACCCCTTTAAAATTAAGATTTGAATAATATCATGTTTAACTTCGATTAATTTACTTGCACTCCTTATGTTAATGATCCATAATCTCCTATAAAAATAGGTAATTAATATAGAGTGGTGCTATTTCTACCTTCAACTTATCTCAAGTTACCACCAAATTTATACAAAATATGATAAATATTAAATATTCTTCAAATTTGTAATCCGCCACCTTCTCTTAGATTAGCTTAATCGTCATATCTTCTAAGTTTTTTTTTTTTTTTTTTTTTGTTTTTGCAATGGATACTAAAAGGAAAACTAAGATTGGGTTGAATAAAATGTAACCTATTTTTAAAATTTTATTCCACCGAAAACAACAATATCATAATCTCTGATATATATATTTTTTAATTTATTACATAAGCGCTCTTAGTTTATTTTTCCAAGAACGTGAATTTCTGTTCTTTTTGACATTCAGGTGTTTTTCTCTGACAAACGTATCGTTTACTTAAGGTGGAGAGGGAGATAATTTTGTAGTAAAGATTCTAATGGAAAATGGTGAATTTGTTTTTAATATTCTAATTAGTTTGGTGGTGAATAATTTATGAATTTGTAAAAAATATAGTTGAAACGTAGAAAGAGGAAACATGAGTTTAAGCAATAGAATTCTATTTTCCAAGTTTCAGCTCCAAAACCCTAGAACACCAACAAGGTGACATCATCAAATCGTAGGAGCAACACTATAAATACACGTATTATTCGAAAATCCAGTTAGTTAATTCATACATTTACGGGTTCGTTGTTCCTTTTCAATTCCAGCATTTTCTTTTATCAAACATTTTCTTACCTATGCTTAGACTCGAAATTACCAATATGTTAAAAATAGGGAATCATGATATTGCCGGCGTTGACTTTTCAATTTGGTTTTTTTGGTCCGTTTTATTTGCCACCGGATTCAGGCGCTGACTTTTTCTTTTCTTTTTTGGTTTGTTTTTTCCGCCGCCGGATTCCGGTGTTGGTTTTTTTTATTTTTTTTTCTTTTTTTTTTGTTTACCCCCTCGTTAAACGTTGACCGTAATTGTGCTGTCATTAACGGTAATTATACTGTCACTGACAGTAAATTAACGTAATTATATTACTGTCATTGACAGTAAAATAACTGTAAACACAATAATATTACTGCCAGCCACATCAATATTATTATTTTTTTGGGTTATTTTGTTTTGTTTGAGTTATTCACGGAGTAACGTAATAATATTACTGTCTATTATTGTAATATTATTATATTACTGTAAACACAATAATATTACTGTGGTTGACGGTAATATTACTTTAGTTATAGTAATATTACTGTCAACCACATCAATATTATTACTTTTTTTGGGTTTTTTTTTGTTTTGTTCGAATTATTCACGGAGTAACATAATAATATTATTGTCTGTTATTGTAATATTACTGTAAATACAATAATATTACTGTGGTTGACAGTAATATTACTGTTGTTATACTAATATTACTGTCACTCACAATAATATTAATATCTTTGGCTTTTTATTATGTTTACCTTTTTTAAACTGTCAACATATTAATATTACTCTATTACACAATAATAATGAGTTTTGTTGTGTTAATATGATTGTGCTAGAGAATAATATAACAATATTACCGTGTTAAACTGTAGTATAGTTAATTTTACTGTATTTAATTTTAATATAGTTAAAGAAAAAGGAAAAAAAAAAGAAAAAAAAAAAGTCAACGGCGGTGATGGATGAAATTGTCCATAAAAATGCGTTTTGGGTCAAAATTGAATAATTTGAGAAATTTGAGGTCAAACTGAGGTTAGATTAAATTAAAAATGATGAAATTGGACCATACTAAAGTATGAGGGGCTATTTTAGTCTTTTACAAACCTGTGGACCAGACCATGTGTAGACTATTTTGTAAAATAAATTAATGTCTGGACCTCTTTATGAATAAGTATCCATTGATGTGCTTATCTGTATGGTGTCCATAAAAGAAAGTGATTTAGTTACAGGAAAAGTAGAAAACCAGTAAAGAAGAATAAATCCTTGTACATGCAACAAAATTATTGGATTATTTAAACTTGTAACTGTTGTCATGGTCAATCATAATCAGCATGAATGGAGGAATGGGGAAATTCTATGCTATACCTGGTGAATATAACCAGGCACCCTAATTAATAAGATTCCCACTACGGGTTCAGTTATGGCCCAATGGGTTTTAAAAATATAATTATAAAATAAATAAAAAAGGACACATGTCAAGAAAAGAGTCACCCGGTGAAAATCACCGGGTGTAGCATCGTATTCCCCGGAGGAGTGGGAGACTTTGCCCTCTTAATCGGAAATAAAAATTACATTAGAAAGATAATTTAACTAAACATAAAAAAATATAGGGTAAATTACAATCACCCCTAAGGTATGGTTAAATTATAAAAAATCCTCTCTTGTTTGGATAATTACATCCACCCCTTCAACTAAGAATCTTCTTACACTTTCGCTTTTATGGTGTCAAATTCAACATAATCATCTAGATTCCGTGGAATGTGCTATAGTTTGTACTCGTTTGTGTAAAAATACAGTTTTTGATGCACCACAATTTGATATATACAAGCCAAAAAACACATCTTATGATCATCTTGCTTCAAAATGTGGAGCTCGAATAGGATAAAACGGGTACCAAAGTGATAATATTTTATATAATCAAGAATATTCCATTAAATTTGAAACCGCGAGAGTGGACATGTAAGAAAATTTATAGTTGAGGGGAATTATTGTAATTACCCAAAAAGGAGGGAGGTTTTCGTAATTTTACCATATCTCATGGGTGGTTGTAATTTACCTATAAGTATATCCTATTACGAAAGTCCTATTACGAAAAGAAACCTTTATGTTTGCTTAATTGCCCTTTAATTTAAACTTAAAAAAATGATTTTTTTTTTCATAAAATTGAATTGTCTATTTTGCCCACCTATTACAAGAAAACAAATAAATACAATTAAATCCTTGCATGCAACACAATTATTGAATTATTTATACTTGTAATTGTTGTCCTGCAGGTCAATCATACAGCATGAATGGAGGAGTGGGAGACTTTGCCCTCTTAGGTGGTGTTTGCAAATGCTTTTTGAAAGTGATTATAAGTTTTTTTTTTGTTTATAATCTGTTTTTAGGTGTTTGCAAAATCAATTTTTACCTTTGTTTCTCTTAAAATAATCTGTTTTAAGTTATTTTTTTAAAAGCATCCCTAACCCTGCTTTCTCTATTTAAGTTCATTTTCCGGAATATTTGCAAACACACCCAACTGTTAGAAATAAGCCCTTAAAACCAAGGTTGTAAAAAGCGGTAATCGGGTCCGAGTCGGTCAGGCACCGACTCACGATTAATCGGTGCGGCGGTGATTAATCGATGATAAATCGAAAATAAATCGGTTTTTAAAATTTAATATAATATATTTCTAAATATTATTTATAAATACTCCAAACATATATAAAAAGAAATTTAAACATAGTTATATCTCCATCATGTATATATCCTAATAACATAATAAAAATTTAATAATTATAAGATCATAATACATAAATATCCTTATAAAATATAAATAAAAAAAATATTTTTTTGGAATTAATATTTATTCTTGAACATTCTTGGCATACATCATTAGTTCTTTAACAATAACAATTAACATAAACAAAATAAGGCATAAACTCATATTTTCTTTATTAAATTCAACTTTTATTT